GGGGAGGAAGAAAGAGAGAGAGAGAGAGAGAGAGAGAGAGAGAGAGGAGAGTTGGCAGTCAAAGCAGGGGCGGACGAGGGTGCACGATGGGGTGGATAGACTGCATTATGTACGGGACAGGGCTAAGCTGTTAGGTATCTGAATTATTGAGACCAAGTTATCTCATCTCTGCCTACAGTCATCTCGTTACTTTAAACGCAGCTGCTCGCTGGACCGCGTCGCGGATGTACGGAACGAACCGAGGGAAGGAAGCGTATTTTTCTCTCTTCCTCTTTTCTCTCTCTCTCTTTGTCTTTTCTTGATTCCATGTTCCATATTTCTTATTTGTTAGATTTTAAATATCGAGTCTTCAAACATCACTGGACGTATCGTTTTATAACGAGAATAGAAGGTTTTCCCAGCTTTCGACCCGAATTTACAAGTGGAGAGATCGATTCGGATTGAAATGTTTCGTTGCTTTAATCGCATCAGGAAGAAAGTTATTTTGTTTTCTAAATTTGGAAACACGAGATAGGAATGGAGGAAAAAGCGTTTCTCTTTTGAAATTTGATTTGATTGACGTTCAGGATCGTTTCACGATGATAGATTAAAGTTGGTGCGCATCGCGAAGAAACTTCTTCTCCTTGAAAGGGGAATTAAATTTATTATCCATTGAAAAATTTTTAACCGATAAATCGATTTGCAAAAATCGTGTAATTTAAGTTTCGTTGTCAAATTTGTTCGATTTTCAATTCGCGATGTTGCGTAATAATTTTTCGTCAATTACGAATCAGATGGAAATTTAATTCGACAATGAGACATCTAGACAAACGTGTCCACCTGTCACCGCATTTCCTTTCCTGAACGCATTGAGACGGATAACACGTGTCGTCGCCGTACAAATCGAATTTCACGCTCGCTTCTCACGTTACGGCGCTACGTAATAAAAACGCTCGTATCTTCTCCAAGTAAACTCGAAAAAACGATCGCAAGATCGTTGAAAAATAAGGAAGAATCGAAATCGAATACGACGAAACCAAATTCCATTTCCATTTTAAAATTTATTCAAAATCATCTCATAAATAATAACATTTTTTTTCTTTCTTTTTAACGAATTTAAACTCATCCATCGATCTTTGCTCGTTTCATTTCAATTCTTCTACACAATTCTTCTTCCTTTCTTTCCCTCTTTCTTTCTTTTTTCTCTTTTTAACTAGCTCGAATAGAGCTAAGAAGATACAATATTGCGTTCGTGATCTTACTCGGCGAGAAAAGAAAATTACCATTGGCCGGTTTCCAAGTAAGAAGCGTAATTTTCATTTCTGCGCGCTTTACGACAAATGCAATATCGCAGTTTTAAACGACAAGAAAGACAAGAGATCCCGATGCAACGGCATCGAACCCGTTTTTTTTTTGCGACCAGTCCTGTTATCGATCTCTTATTAGGTCGTTACACCAACCTTCTAAAGGCGTTCTCTTCCGGTTTTTATTGGCCGCGTTTTACATTCCACGTTTTTACCTATTTGCCCCTTTATTGCTGGTGGAACAATGCAGTAGAGGTAACGGCACGCTGCCTCTGCTAAACTTCGTCCACTGTTATCCATAAAAAAGGCAAATGAAACTCTCGCGGGAAATTTAGAGCTCGATACTTTTCGATGATAAAGAATTTTATTGAGTTTGACGAAACTAAGATAGAGAGAGAGAGAGAGAGAGGGAAAGAAAATGCTATAAAACGGAATATTTATTCTAATTATTTCGAAATTTTAAAGAAAATCTCTACGTTTTTTACGTTAACTCATTCCAAACGTTACAACGCATTACAAACATTAGCAGTTTAAATACATTTGATTGATCAATACTTTTTCTTAATAAAACCGAGATGGAAAGGAAAAAGTCGCTTGCTGAACGTTTCCTCCTATTTTTTTTCGAGATCTCGTATACATAATTCGTAAAATATTTCTTAAAATCATTGTATTTATAAAAACAATATTTCACATTTCATGTTTCGTTGTCCCAATTTCTCCCAATCTTGAACAAATTCTTGAGAAAATATCGTTAACCGATCAAAATCCCAAAGAATCGTTCCAAGAATTTTAAACGACCTGGTCTTTACACGACAAAAAAGAAAAAGTGGCCTATTCTATCTCGTCGAACACCTCTGATGACCAAAGTATACCAGATACCTACTAAAAACCACGATCTCGGCTACTTCCTCCGGAGGAAAAATACATCGAGAGCTGAGAAACGAAACGAAACGAAACGAAACGAAACGAAACGAGAGGAAACGAGAGGAAACTTTGTTGTTTGTCAAACTATCCAAAGGTGGATGATATTTCCCGGAACGAGAACGAGGGAGAACGGTTTTAGAAATTGGTTGAAGGGAGAGAAAAGGAAAGGGAGGGGAGGGATAAATGCCTCTGGGCCCCGTCTCGCCGCGTAGACGCCCCTGATATCGGGGGACCCGCGCCACGAACGGGCCCCGTTTTATCTAAATGACGTGTTTTCGTCCTCCGTTATCTTGAAGAGACTCCAATACCGGGGACTTTCGATGCCTCCTCACCGATACGAAGCACGTTGTTGTGACCCGCTATTAACATTCCAACCGCGGTTTCCACCTCGCGTTTTCCCTTTCGACTCCTCTCCAGAGATTCGATGAATCATTCGAGAAAATGGAAAGATCGTTCGTCGTAGGTACTTGAGATTTTTTTCTCCTGTTAATTATCGTTCTTTCTCGAATGGAAGAAGAATCGACGAATGACACGGGAATCACGTTTATCGAGATTATTAAATATTCTTTCTTGTTTGTCGATTCCTCTCCTCAGATTCGATGAATCGTTCGAGAAAATGGAAAGGCGATTCGTGGTAGAGCTTTAACAGTAATTTGAGATTTTTCTCTTTCGACTTCTCTCGAAGAAAAATCATTCATAGGAACCAGAAATTACGTTTATCGAGATTATTAAATATTTTTTCTTGTATTTCGATTCCATTCCTCAGATTCGATGAATTATTCGAAAAAATGGGAAGGCGATTCGTGGTAGAGCTTTAACAGTAATTTGAGATTTTTCTCTTTCGATTTCTTTCAAAGAAAAATCATTCATCGACATAGGAACCAAAAATTACGTTTATCGAGATTATTAAATATTCTTTCTTTCGAACACGAGATTAATTACGAGAGAATTAAAAAGTTACATTTGTCTCCATCTCGAGTTTTCCCTTTCGACTCCAGAGATTCGATGAATCGTTTGAGAAAATGGAAAGATCGTTCGAGATTTATTACGTTTCGAGATTATTAAATATTTTTTCTTGTATTTCGATTCCACTCCTCAGATTCGATGAAAAAATGGAAAGGCGATGCGTGGTAGAGCTTTAACAATAATTTGAGATTTTTCTCTTTCGATTTCTCTCGAAGAAGAATCATTCATCGACATAGGAACCAGAAATTACGTTTATCGAGATTATTGAATATTCTTTCTTATATTTCGAATGCGAGATTCGATAAATTACGAGAGAATGGAAAGTTTGTCTCCACCTCGAGTTTCCCTTTCGACTCCTCTCCAGAGATTCGATGAATCGTTCGAGAAAATGGAAAGGCGATTCGTGACAGGAACTTGAGATTTTCCTGTTAATTATTATTCTCTCCCGAATGGAAGAAGAACGAATGACACAGGAGCCACGAGTTACAAGTTTATCGACAGCCTATTAAATATTCTTTCTTGCGTTCTTTCGAACGGGAGATTCGATAAAACACGGGAGAGAGTGGAAAGTTACGTTTGTCTCCAGCCAGCGCGAGATTTAGAATAATTCGCAGGGGAAAGGATCAACAGAATCGGAAATATGTGGAAACTTACCTCCACTTTGTTCGTCTGTTTTGAAACCATGTTTTCACTTGGGCATCGGTCATCTTCAAGGTCTTAGCCAACGCTGCCCGTTCAGCCGATGCCAGATACTTTTGTTTGTGAAAACGTTTCTCCAATTCGGCGATCTGCAACCTGGTGAAGCTCGTCCTCGGCTTCTTTCTCTTCGGTGGCGTCCTGTTCTGATAAGGATGCCCGATCCTCCTTGGAAACGCTCCGGCTACTGTCGACAAAACGAAAAATCCAACAATTGTATCCACCATTTATAACGCGTAATAATTTCACATGCAATAATAAAGTATTGCAACCGCGACATCTGCCGATCCAATCGCAATTTGGGCCGAAAAATTAATAACTCGATGGAAAAAAGTGAAAAAAATAAAACTGTAAATTAATTTTACAATCCTCCCTACATCTTTCTTATATCATCCTGCAAAATATTCGAATTCCAAAAAAAAATAAATAGGAAAAGAAAAAAAGAACGAACGTATGAAACGAGAAAACACGAAGAAGACGCGAGGCGCGTTTCGAGCAAGCGTTAAAATTCCAAGATAAAGTGGCGACGCCGAGTTTACGCCGTTCAAAGAATTACTCACACACGCTCTCCCTCTTTTCAGAACAAAGAAAGAGAGAGAAAGAGAGGAACGATTATAGAATCGTAAAAAAACGGGGCTTACGAGTTACACGGAACGATTTGCCGGGTGCAAATTGTAACGCCGATCGCCAGCAGGTGCGTTTGGCGATTCGATGGAAGGCGGTATTAATAAAATTACCGTTAGCCCCGATAGGATCGCGCCCACTTCCATTACCAAAGAAACCCCCAACGAGCGGTGCACGTGAAA